AGTCTGGCAGTCATTACCTAGAAACAGAAGGTATACAGGTGAATAGAATAGTGCAAATCAATATGGGTTTGGACTATGGCCAGAAAAAATGTAAATAATTTCATATTCAAGAGGCTCAGCACATTATATGTCAGGAATGAAGTTAGGCTCTTTGTATTTTGTGGGTGGCTCTGAAAAGAGCCGTTGTGGGTGGCTCTGAAAAGAGCCGTTGTGGGTCAGTCTTGTGGTGGACATGACTACTCTGTGGGCTGCCACGGCAGTGCTCCCTCCTCACTGAAGTGGGCCATGAACACCTTCCTTATGTCCACTGCTTCTCTGGTCGCGTTGTTGGCGCCCATCCGCTGCACGCCTGGAAGTGGTTCTTCACCGGCAGCAGCTCCCCTCGGTGCAGGAACCTGCCCATCTCCAGCCATCCTCATGAAGTTGTGAAGGACACAAGTGGCCTTCACACACTTCTCCACAACTTCTGGGGAGACTTCCAGGTGACGGCGAAACACTCTCCCACTGCGCAGACCAAATCCCAAATGCATCCTCCACCACTAACCGGGCCCGGGAGAGGCGGTAGTTGAAGGTGCGCTGCTCTGGGGTAAGGCCACCACGTCCAGGGAAAGGGCGCATTAAATTGCGGCGCAGTGGAAAGGCCTCATCTGCCACGAACACATGGGGCTGGGGTCCTCTGTGGTCAGCTCCAGGTATGCACTGGTCAGGAGGCAGGTCGAGTGTGCCCTCGCGCAGAGCCTCACCAAAGGCAGAGTTGGCCATGATGCCTCCATCGCTGGATCTGCCGTACCCTCCCACATCAATGACCCTGAACCTGTACTGGGCATCCACTACAGCCAGGAGCACAAGGGAATGGTGCCCCTTGTAATTAAAGAACATGGACCCAGAGTTGGGGGGTGCCTTCACAGCCACATGCTTCCCATCAATGGCCCCACAGCACAGAGGGAAGTTCCATCGGACCTCAAAGTCCTGCGCTATGGACCTCCACTCCTCTGCTCCAGGCACAGCCATGAACTCCTCCACGAGGCAGTCCCAGATGGCTGCCACCACATCTGGGATGAGCATGGAGACGGTGGATATGCCCAATCTGAAGCTCCCCGCAATGGTCCTGTAGGAGTCCCCAGTGGCAAGAAACCTGCAATTACAAAATGATATGAACATATTTATCACAATTACATTCATAAAAATCACGTGACAAAACTTGTGTAGCATAAAATACGTTAAACTAGTAGACAGTAAACATCATAGACAGTAATCATAGACACCATATTGTTGCATAATACTGTTTTCTGAGCTATTACATTGTGGATTGTGATTGAAAAATGACAAACTTTGTAAGTATTTAGGAATTCCGAATGGGGTAAAAAACACTAACCGCAGACAGATGGACAGGCGCTCTTCAGCTGGAATAGAGCGCCTGTAGTTGGTGTCCTGGTAGGTGATCCTTGCGCCAATGCGGGTCAGTAGGTCGTCAAACTGGGCCAGGGAGAGACGAAAGTACCGCTGAAAGCGACCCTCATCCGAGCGCAGCTCCCGGAGCAAATGGTGAAACTCACCAAACTCCAACCGTCTACGGACTATCTGGTGAATCCAGACACGTCGTCGATTCGCCCTTTGACGACGCTGTCTGGCTTTATTTATCAGATAGAGCCAAGCAACTCCTTCGCTGACATCCATTTTGGGAAGCTACAGGCAAAAGAGACAAGCCCCGCCCCTAAACGCTCTCAACGCTCTGTGACAGCGGCTGCCCTCTAGTGTCCTGGCCGCGCGGCCAAGTTTCTCTGTGACAGCGGCGGTCACAATTTGTCACAAGCGGCTCAAGCCGCGCGATATACGCGATTTGGCCGCAGAAATCGCGTTTGGTCTGAACGCACCATCAGACAATATAAATAATGACCATATCTAACTGCTACAGATTTTGATTTCAACATTTGTGAGTTGTTTTAATGAATATACATGTTTTTCTTTTTTTATTTGCTTTTACAGTAAATGGTCTTTACTGTAACATTCATAAATAATGTATGTTACAGCTTTTGTCTTTTTTATATTTTTATTACTAATAAGAATGCATTAAGTAATCAACCAGCCAAAGAGTTCCACCTATTTGTTCAATTTCATTTTTGACAAAGGATTTGTTTTTTTTATATGTAGTCAATAAATTACAATCTAAAGATTATGAAATACCATGATTACTGTGTAGATTGAAATTAGGACTAAAAAGTGCTCAAACCGATCCACGCAAACGCTGTCCCTTATTTTTTTTATCTCAAGTTGGCAACCCTATGTACAGATAAAGTGAAAATAACTTTGTTTAAAGCCTACTGCACACCTCTCTATACTGCCAGCTCACTGTTTGATCTTAATAATGTCCCCTCTCTGAATGCTCTGATCAGAAATGTTATTTATCCTCGTAAGTAGTGTTAGTATTAGATAGCAATATGGCCTACGTGCAGGACTGTACAAGGACTCTGATTATTTTGACTATGATGTGACTGTCTCTGTGTGACACGTACGTCTTTCCATGTGTGACGTGACAATGACTATATAAACTGTGTACTGCCTTTATTCTGTCTGAAAGAAAGAGACAATGGAAACCACTGGAACTTGAGAGAAACTTAAATAAACTTCCAGAGTTTGGCGCACCACGATCCGTCTCTGTCTGCTTCATCCCTGGCAGATTTGGTGGAGAATGCGCGGCTCAGTGTGCGCCATTCTCTTGTTTGTTTTGAGGGAGTTTCCCTTGTTTTCTTTTTCTCGGCGTGGGAGAGCTGAGAGTATCTGGGGCCTGGGAGCGGTCCAGCAGGCTGGAGAGGCGACCGGCTGTGGACATGGGAAATTGTTTTCCCATGTCCACATTCCGGGGATTTTTGACGTGTGATTGGTCTCTGCCGATGGAAACTAGTTCCCGGTACTAGTGAGCGCTGGTTCATGATCTGGAGACCCAGGTTGGACGTGGAAAAGCTGATATTTGGTGGACTTCTGACTGTGCCTGGGCCCTGTTCGACAAAAGGTAAGAGCGACACCTGTTTATTCAAAGTCTGCTAATTGAGTGAACTAAATTATGCTCTGTTTTGAGGTCTGCCAAATGTCTAATATCTATAGATAAGATTAGAGAAAAAGGAACCCCTGGACGTATCGGGGTCCCTGCCCTTTGAAGTAGTCAGGGCAGAGAGAAAAAGGAACCCCTGGACGTATCGGGGTCCCTGCCCTTTGAAGTAGTCAGAGCAGAGAGAAAAAGGAACCCCTGGACGTATCGGGGTCCCTGTCCTTTGAAGTAGTCAGGATAGAGAGAAAAAGGAACCCCTGACGTATCGGGGTCCCTGTCCTTTGAAGTAGTCAGGACAGAGAGAAAAAGGAACCCCTGACGTATCGGGGTCCCTGCCCTTTGAAGTAGTCAGGGTAGAGAGAAAAAGGAACCCCTGACGTATCGGGGTCCCTGTCCTTTGAAGTAGTCAGAACAGAGAGAAAAAGGAACCCCTGACGTATCGGGGTCCCTGTCCTTTGAAGTAGTCAGGAAAGAGAGAAAAAGGAACCCCTGACGTATCGGGGTCCCTGTCCTTTGAAGTAGTCAGGACAGAGAGAAAAAGGAACCCTGACGTATCGGGGTCCCTGCCCTTTGAAGTAGTCAGGGCAGAGAGAAAAAGGAACCCCTGACGTATTGGGGTCCCTGTCCTTTGGAGTAGCCGGGGCAGAGAATAGAGAATAGAAAATAGTTGGTGTAAAATTAAAAGTAATTATAATTGTTTTTCGAATTGTTATTCACGCGGGTGGTAATGACGTTCGGCGGAAACAGTCCGAGGTGTTGAAGCTGCAAGTCGCTGCGGTGTGCAAGCTGGCTAGCACAATGGCCGACACTGTCATCTTCTCTGGGCCCCTACCTAGCACTAGCAGTGCAGAAGCATTCAGCAGACACTCGGCTTTCAACCGCTGGCTGTCTGGCTGGTGCCCTCGAAGTGGTGTTGTTCATGTTGACAATTGGAGTGCCTTTTGGGGAAAGCCCGGTCTCATCCGCTCGGATGATATCCACCCAACGTTGGCGGGTACATCCCTTTTGGCTAAGAATTTGGCCCTGGCTCTAAACTGTTCTACCCGGCTCAAATGACGGTGCAGAACTGAGGCCCGGGTGCAGAGCTGCTCTGCCACAAGCTCTGAGCCCCCATCTGTTCAGCTACTAGCCTCAGAACCTAGTCAGATTGAAACTGTGTGTGTTCCTCGCTTGAAGTCTAAAGCACTATATGCGAGGAAATCTGACCTGGGTGTCAGACACAGTAACTTAATAAAAGTTCAGACAGACAGAAATAGTTCTAACAGTAGGGTTGTTAAATGTGGTTTAATGAACGTCAGATCAATCTCGTCTAAATCGCTTCTCATAAACGAACTTGTTTACTTTGATTGTCAATAAGAACTTTCACTGGAGCCGAGAATAAAAATTCATATAATGCGTTTATTAACTCAATTAACAATACATGGGAGACCCGTCAATCCTGCATGGAGCTCTGCGCAGAAGAAGCTCCCCGTCAATCCTTTCTGTCCTTTTTAACTGCTCCTGTCAATACCAAATATGGAATCTTGGCTGCGACCGAATAACAGGATCCAGATGTTTCCCTAATGACCTTTCCCAAACATGTTTTGCCTCATTCCTTCTGGGTCAACTTGACATCTAGTGCTTGGCTCTTCCTAACACAGTGCAGAGAACATTCCACTGCACAAATAATAATAATAGTCAAACATTCTACCACATATTTATTCCCCCCCTTTCAGGGCTCTCAGCCATGAATTTCCTTCAATAACCTCCCCTTAGCCTTAGCAAAGTAGTTACATGAGTTACACAATAATTTCAAACACTTAGTAAATGAGAGTAAATGAGATAACATAACTTTCAAACACTTGATACATGATACAAAACAATATCACTCTTGAGTGTAGGCGCTGGCAGAACTTGGCTCGCACTTGCATTGTACATTATTTTGATTAAACATGAACTTAAGATGGACGAGTGGTCAAAAAGTAGGTATACTGTCACAGTCCATGTTCTTTTCATCGTCCACCGAGTCGTCCTCCGCTAACCAGTCCTTGATGGGGAACTGCTCTGGTCGGCTACTCTTGCTCTCCGCATTCAGCACTAACATCTGTCTTGTTACCCCTCGCACCACTACTGCTCTCAATACCGGAATGCAACAGCAGAGGACAAGACTTATTGCCACAATGCAAATAATAACTGGTACTCCAATCTTCACCAACCCCAGTTTCCATGATCCTAAAGTCTGCTGTAGCCAGCTCAGCCAGTCCAACTCTGCATCCCTTCCAGCATTCTTCTTCATCTCCAACCTTAGAGCCTTGATTTTCCCCATTGCCTGTGTGAAAGCTCCTCCTACTCCTGTATGATCGGGAATAAATGTACAACAGTATTCACCCACTAGGGCACAGACCCCTGAGGTCTCTGCCAAAACCCAGTCTAAGGCCTGTCTACTCTGCCAGGCTACAGCACTAGTTGCATGCAACTGCTCTCCCAGGGCTGACATGGCACTATCCGTGTAATTGATGAACTGCTGGAAATTGTAGTAAATGTAGTTTATCTACTCAGTGTTTTTATTTGTGGAGATCCAGGGCAAAATGGATTCAAACCCTGACTTAATTTCAGATCTTGCCTTAAACTCCTCTGGGATCCCTCTAGGCTGCCCAATACTGTCTAAATACACTGAGTGCTGAGTGTTTGTTTTACCTTTGTGCATAAACTCAACCTGCTCTTTGTACTGCTGGGTTCCCAAATACAACAGGCACTCCGCCTTACACCATACGCGCAGCGGGTCATTCTCTCTTACTGCTGTATCACTACACTCCTTCCAACTAAACACAGTATTAAAAAGGAACAAAGGATCGGCCCTTGCCTTTGTACAAACGTAGCAGTCAGTCATTCCATTCGTCCGGCCTGCATACTGAACCCACTGATACCAGCTGTTATACTCTGCACGATTTAGTAGTCTATCTGGCTCTACCTCCTCGGTCTCACCTAGCCCTGCACCAATTCTCGAAACAAAACCTCCAGCCGCCTGTCCTATCCCAGCCACCGTCCTGTGAAACCAGTCCGTCCAATTTAGGTTAGTCTTAACCACGTCACTGATCTCTGCAGTTTTTAAATTCATTCTATCACCGTCATGCTTCTCCATTGAGTTGTCTCTCCGTACGTCAGGATTTCGGTTTTGGCCATCCGGGACTATCAGGTCAGTCCTACTCTGTCCAGTCAGGTCAGTGTCTGCCTGATCATTCTGAATAGGATTGTCCGCTAGGCGAGCTATGTCAAGGTTGGTAGGGTTTTTCTGCTGTATTTGGGCTCCAGCATCAGTTTTGTCAGTCAGTTCTGGTGAGTCCATCAGTCTCTTTTGGATGGGCGACACCTTTATCGCAGTCCGGTCCTCTAGTTCCGAGGGCTTCAACAGTCTCTCCTGGATCGGTGACCCTCTGGATAGTGTCCCCTCTTCCAGTTCTGAGGGCCTCAACAGTCTCTCCTGGATCGGTGACTCTCTAGAAGCAAGTTCAGTCCCACGTTCTGTGTGTAGAGTTCCGTCACTCTGTCCTGTTTTGTCTGGGCTAGCGGGTAAGTCCACCCGCATGCCTTGGTCCACAGTCATGTGGTCTTTTTCCTCCATCTTTATAACAGTCTCGTCTTTGTAGCCCGGAGGGTTCAATTTAACTTCACGTTCCTCAATTCCAGCAACGAAAAGCTTGGTCCATCCCACAAAGTATGTCTGTGGTAATTGTCCTTTCAGTGGGTCAAATTCCACCCGTACTAGCCACACATCGCCTTTTTCCTTTATGGCAATACCACAGTCTCTTTCACCCCACGTTGACCTAATCATCTTCTTTCTCCCAAGTGACCAACCGATCCCACACAGTCGATAGTCAGAAGTTTTCACATAAACATTGAACGTGGTCATGTCATCAGTCCAGATCATAAGGGGCATTTGGGCAGTCCAGCTCACGTCTTCTTTGTATGTTCTACTAGGGTCTGTGTACGACCAATTGTCTTCTAGTGGCCATTTATCGATTGCTCTTCTATGTCTCTCGGCCAGTGGGAGTTCCTGTCCCTTCCACCAGGATGACGGCAGGGAACTCAGCGGTACTATCATTGTCATTACCAGCACCACAAGGACCCTCGTCCCCCCCTTCCAAGGACTCGTCGCCTTGGCAGCCATGGTCATTCTTCTCCTTTTCCTTTATGGTCTTTTCCTCGTTGCCGTCAGCCGGGGCCTTGACGCAGTGGTTCAGGTGGTACCACGTCGGCGATCCCTTCACCTGCACCGCCGTTGACGTCGCGTTCACGACCTCGTAGGGACCTTCCCTCCGTGGAGTATGCCACTTCCGTCGGAAGGTTTTCACATAGACCAGGTCCCCCGGCTTCACTGCAGGTGGCACCTCCTCCTCCTTTGTCTGGCTCTGCACAGAGTTAATACGAGCAAAAATACTCCTGTGGATGTTAGACAACTGTTTCACATAGGATTTCATGTCATTTGTTAACACATCAATAGGGGGGCCCTTAGCAGCTCTGTACACCGGTGATGGCATTGGCCGACCAGTGAGCGCTTCATGCGGGGTTAGTTTTAAGCTTTTATTGGCACTCCCCCTATAGGCCATCAAGGCAAGTGGCAGTGCATCCACCCAATTCAAGCCGGTGTTCATACAAATTTTTAGTAGTTTGTTTTTTAGTATACCATTTGCTCTTTCAACCATTCCTTGACTCTGAGGATGATAAACACATCCTAACCTTTGCTTGACTCCTAACTTTTGCAACACACATTTTACGGTTTTGTCTACAAATTCCCCGCCGTTATCAGAGCTGATACGTCGGGGAATCCCAAATCTAGGAAAAACCTCCCTGCACAAAAACTTTGCCACTGTGTCTGCATTCTTATTTTTTGCAGGTAGGGCCTCAATCCATCTACTAAATCTGTCACTGACAACCAACATGTACCGTTTACCTTGCACTGGTCGAATCATGTCAACATAATCAATGGTTAAATGCTGAAATGGTCCTTCAGGAGTTGGAATGTGACCGGCGGGTGGGGTCATGCCCCTGCGAATGTTACTTTTTAGACATATTTCACAGTGACTAATTACATCGTCCACGTGCTGCTGTAGTTTTGGAGCCCAGAAGTTCCACTCCCTTATCTTCCGCAGCACTTCTCCTCTCGACTCATGAGCCAACCCATGAGCCTCGTTTATCAACAGGGGCAATAACCCGGTGGGTGCAGCAAAGAGCCCTTCATGGTTTCTCCAAAGTCCTTGCGAATCCTTAGAGGCTCCTCGCTGCAGCCACAACTGTCGCTCTGCTTCTGAGACCTCTTCTTGTAACAACAGTAGATCCTTGTGTGTTAATTGTTCTTCTAAGTCTATCATGTGAGTTACCATTATGGCATGAGCACCTGCCGAAGCTGCTTGCTTGGCTGCCTCGTCAGCTGCTGCATTGCCTCTCGTGATCCACGAGCTGTCTTTGCGATGAGCCGCACATTTTACAATAGCTATTGCTTTTGGCTTCATCATGGCTGTCAACAATCTCTTTATCTGATTACAGTGGTGGATTGGAGAGCCGTCTGTCTTCCTGAAACCTCTTCCTTTCCATGCCGCACCAAAAATATGGCACACCCCGTGTCCATATGCTGAATCAGTAAAAATATTTACTCTCTTACCCTCTCCGAGCTCGCATGCGCTCGTCAGGGCCTTCAGTTCCGCTAACTGTGCAGAGCACGGCTGCTGGCAGGTCTCAGTTTGGACAACTTTTATAGCGCTGCCTTCCATACTTACAATGGCATACCCTGCTTTGAGTGCCGCCCCATCTCTGTAACAGGAGCCATCCACAAACAATGTCATGTCTGCCGACTCCAAAGGGGTTGCATTCAAATCAGACCGCAACTTAGCGTAATTTTCGGATTCAGTCACACAATCATGAGGCTCTCCCTCAAACGGTAGTGGGATTGAGTCCGCAGGATTTTTCACCTTACACACGCGGATTGTCACATCGGGATAATCTACAAGTAAATGATACTCTGTTAATCTTTGTGCCGTTAACACAAACTTTCCCTTTTCAAGTAGATTCACCAATTTATGATGTGTCATTATTTCTATGGGGTAACCCATAGTGAGCGCTGACGCTTTTTCGTATAGCAGGTGGGCTGCTGCCAGATTCTGGTAACATTCAGGTAGCCCCATTTCCACTGGGGACAATGCTACAGAGTAGTAAGCAATAGGTTGAGCGTGTGTCCCCACATTTGTTTTCTGAGTCAGCACCCCACAGGCATGATTTTGTCGGCATGAAATAAACAGTTGGAATGGTTTTTCATAGTCTGGGAGGGTTAGCGCTGGGACCTGCTGCAACAAAGTCTTGATCCTTTCAAAAGCCATATAACCTTCTGGAGTCCAGATCACTTTTCCTCTCAGGTTTCCAGCCCCCTGTTCTTTAATAATTTTTCTCAGAGGCTGGACAACCAGGGAGTATCCCTCAACCCATTCTGAACTATAACCAGTCATCCCTAAGAATGTCATCATTTCTTTGACTGTTGTTGGCCTAGGAGCCTGTGATATAGCCTCGAGCTGGGCCGGTGAGACTGATCGTGACCCCTCCCTTATCAATCTCCCCAAGTACTCAACTTGGTCTTGACAATATTGCAATTTCCCCAAGGACGCCTTATGTCCTTTTTCTGCGAGCATGGTCAGCAGAGTCACAGAATTTTTATGGCACGTTTCCAGATCAGGTGCACACAAGATAATATCGTCGACATAGCTAATTATGGTTCTGGACACTTTGCCTGACAGTTCTGCCAAATCTTCTCTCAAGATTTTATTGAAAATATGGGGACTTAGTTTTAGGCCTTGTGGTACCCGGCGGTAAGTATAGGATTGATTTCTGTATGTGAAAGCAAATAAATGCTGGCTTGAGGGACTTAATGGCACGCTGAAAAATGCAGAGCACAAATCAACCACAGTGAACCACCTTGCATCAGACGGCACATTTGTTAACAGTGTGTGTGGGTTTGGGACCTCAGACTGACAATCCTCAATCACTTCATTCAGGGCACGCAAATCGTGTACTAATCTGTATTTACTTTTGTCTGCTTTTAATATTGGCAATATTGGTGTGTTACTGCACGGGTTTGGCTCTTCCACCAGGACTCCAGCCTCCACAAGGCCTCGAATTGTTTTTTCAATTCCAGCCTCGGCCTCTGGTTTTAAGGGGTACTGCGGTCTCCAAGGGGGTCTGCACCCGGGTTTGAGCTTAACCTCAACTGGCTGTGCTGTCTTAATACGCCCTACGTCAGTGTCATGTTTAGATCACAATTCAGGTGGTACAACAGATAACATCTCTTCCTTGAACTCTGAGTGTTGCTTACAGTTTTCCAAGTGGCACGGGAGTCTGGTAACCTGTGGCTGAGCCCAACCCGATGAGGAGATGTCTACTTTGATATATAACTTGTCCTTGCTTAACCAAATGTTTTTGTTTTCAGTGCACATATAATCAGCTTGCATTGCCTCCTGAACCATAGGACCCAAATGCTTGCCTTCATAGTCTGGATTTACTAACAATGTGACATGTGGAAGGCTGTTCTTCACCTTAAACTCTTTTTCTAAATATGCACTGTTCTCAACAACCATTGCTGCTCCCTGTTTCCCTATTATGATTGAATATGCCTTAATCTGGACTCTACTTGGCTGTTTTCTGAGCCACTCCTCTGGACATGCTTCAGACTTATCTCTAAAAAATTGTAATGTGCAATGTGCAGGGCATGAAGGTGGTGAAGCCTGGGGCAGATTTGCTTTTATAAAGTCCATCCATGTGTTTGTGGGTTCCATTAAAGTCTGATCAAGATTTCCCAACCAATACACAACTTCTTCTTCAGGGTTTAATGTCATTTGATAATGTGATGCTTCCACAATCACTCCATCCGGTGAGCACAAAATAGCACAGTTCAGCTTACATAACGCATCTCTTCCCAACAAGTTTATCGGGGTTTGCTCTGATATTAATACTGGCAGTTCAATAGTCTTTCCTTGAAAATTCAGGGGCACTGGGTTGGACAATGGTGTCAGCTGCTTGATCCCTGAGAATCCAACAATGCGAACAAATTGTTGTGACTTGGGAAGGTGGCGGGAATCTGGTTGCCCCACGCAGGTGTAGGCTGCGCCTGTGTCTGCCATCATCTGGACTGGTTTTCCCGCTAGTAGAACCTGCAGCATTGGTTCCTCATCAGGGCTTGATGTTGCCGCCAGCCGCCTTCCCCTGGATTCTCAAGGCATCCCTAGTAACCAGCAGGTGGTCCCTGCCATGAGTTTACAGGGCCTCTTGCTGGTGTTCTGCCAGAATACGGCTCTTGGATCTCGTAGTAGGGATCCTGACGCGGTGGTTTTCGGCAGTTCATTTTCATATGTCCGGGTTGTCCGCAGTTATAACATCTTGGGGGGTTTCTTCTCCATCCTCCGCCTCTGCTTCTTCCAGGGGAGAAGCCTCTCCCTCTATTCCCCGCTTGCAGATAAATCACTTGCGGCGCTGGGGCCGGTGTTGGAGGCAGAAATTGAGGGACTGGTGGTTTAACATCAGCAGACACTACGGCTTGTATTTTCTTTTTCCCAGATGACAGTTGTGTCTGCGTTAATTTCCTCACAGTCTCCTCATCCTCCTGCTTTTGTCGTGCCTGCTTTTTGCGCATTTTTGCGACTGCATCAACGACATGGTCAGTAAACTGTTCAAATGTCATGTTGTACAGTCCGACTGCTTCATTCAGTCTGCTTTGCGCCGTCTCGGGCAGCCCTTCGACTATCCGCTTCCTCAGGGCTGTCCTATGGAAGATGTCCTCCTCCGGTTTTGCACCTGTTTGCTTGATCCACTCTTTTCGTGTGTTATGTACGTACGCCTGGGGACTTTCATCTTCTTTGAGGGGTGCCGTAACGATGCTGTCAGGCTGGATTCTGACCG